CGCTCCTGTCTGCAAGCGCTGCGCGCAGCTGCAGCTCGAAGCGGAAGCGCTCGGTCTCAAACGGGTACGCGGATACGTTTGGCCGAAACCGGAACCTCGATTGGATGCGGAAGCGCCCGTTGCCGAGGTAGTCTGTCGTGCGGAGCCTCTCCGAGTTGGGCAGCGTGAGGCCGCGGTCGTGAGAAAGGAGCTGCTCGTCGGTCGGTTGCCACGGCACAAAGTGGCGGAGATGGCGACACTCTCGCATGGCTGGGTCGGCCCAAACGGAGGCCGGGTGCGGCAGCACGAAACCGAGCTCGTCCGTCTCGACATGCACCTCAAGCGAGATGTCGAGTGGGACGAGACCCTCCGTGACGGAGTGGCCGCCAACGCCGGTGATGGTGGCTCCGACCCCGATCCTGGCGACGCGGCGAACTTGCGCGTTGCGGCGAATAGCGCTGGCGGCGGGGAGCAACGCGGCGAGCAGGAGCGAGATGATAAACGTGTGCATTACACACTGTGGGCATGCATGCGTGTTTGCCTGTAGAATTTACTGGGTGCTTTTCTTTCGTTTTTTCTTCGCCGCTACTCGAAACAGATGGGCTCCAACGATGAGTCGATCGATGACATGACCTCAATGTCAGCTAGCATGCATGCATGCTAGCTCCGAAGTGATTCGACGAAGTGATGATGTGATGAACGCTGTTGTTATGTATGTTTAGCGAACGAATGTGATGGAGTTGTACGGTCTTCACACACACACAACGACAAACACGAGACGTTCGGCGGCGGCTTCTCGCCCACCGCCGTTCTCAAGCTGCGCCGCCTCGCGCGCAAAGTCGCGCGCGGCAGCGTTGACCGCACGGCCTACTCGCCCAAGTACTCGCTCTCTTTTATGTCCCACCATATGCAGAGCGCATCTCTCTCTCTGTTGTGCGAGGCGTGAACCGCGCCATTCGCTCTCACCTGGCAACCCTGTCTGCACGTCTCGCGCGCGCGTGAACAGGGCCGGGGGCTGGTTGGTCACGGCTCACTCTAAAAGGGAAAAATGAGGAATCTGTGATCTGTGATCTGTGAGGGTCCGCCCGCAGGCGCATTTTGTATACCGATGAGGAATCTACGTAAGAGCTACGATCGTACACTACAACAAACAGTCTGCACGTCTCGCGCGCGCGTGAACAGGGCCGCCCCCCGCAAACTTTAAACCACCATAAACATCATTGTGCAGGGGCTCCAGGCCCCAAATGACGTGTGAGTGTTAGAGTTTTTGGTATTGCTAAAAATCTCTCTCACAACGATTTCGTGGTAATTGATGCAAAGAGCGAATTTTGATGGTGATGAGGTCTGACAACATAGAGAGACTGTCAGTGCCAAAATTCTTGTTGACTTCTAAAAATCTCTCTCATATAGACACGCACAGGCCTAGGCGCATGGGCAATTGAGAAGTACAAGCCATTTGCGCTGGACCCTTTTCGTGTGTTGGTGAGAGGTGGGTTGGGTGGGAGGGAGGGGGGTGCGGTGGGAGGGAGGGAGGGGTCTACGACTTGATGTGACGCTACGTGATAGAGGGATCTCAAGGTTATCCGACAACGCGAGGAGAGGAACCGACAAACCCAACCCACCGTGAGGAGGGATCGTGACTCATTGTCACAACGTAAACCGCGTCCGAGACGCAACGTAAACAGCGAAGAGAACTGAACTTCCCACCATTACCACCCTCTCCTCGTCAAACGGGTGTGCGATCTAGGAAGCGGTATTGAGGCAACCCGAATGCATCAATCATTCCGAAAGAGGCATCCATCCATCCCTTGGTAGAAACCTGGCGGGCGCGGTCCGGACTGGGCATCCAAGTACCGGATCCTCTTTAGCCCATCTCTGAGAGTTTGAGTGACTGGCTAGAGACGACGACGACGATACCGTTCATACCCTACCTACCCCGTCATGAGATCCGCCCCGAGCAAAAATTACCGCGCAGATCCCGGTCGGGTGGTGCTTGTATGGCTTCCCTACACCTCTCCCTTCTCCCCCTCCTCCTCCCGGCCGCGGCGGTGCGGGGCGACCCCGGGATTCTCGCGGGGCACGCCCTTGGCTCGGACGTGGCCAACTCGACGACCGTCCTGGAGCCCACCGTCTGCGCTGTCGTGCCATCGGTGCCTGCGCACTGGAGGTTACTACCGCGTGCACTGCTGTCGCTGCG